TTGATATTTACTATTGTATAACGCGTCAATTTTTAGAAATATTGAAATAAAATGACTTTGTTCTTCGATGTACGTATGATTCCTCTTCGAATTAGTTTCACAGAATATCGTCTTTATCTCATCGGAAAATATTAACCCTTTGCACTCCAAAAGTTTTCTGTTAGAAGTACTCGACACGTTTGCGAATGAAATCTAGGCAACTTCTTTTAAAAGTAGCTTAATGAGAAATTCTATGTAAATTAAGGAACAAAGCTGCTTTATCTTGATATTCTACATATTGGTGGATTACGTGAAATTTAATATTAATTATCAAGCTTCATAAGCCTACGGAGTGCAAAGGGTTAAAGTATTTCCAGTGAAATATAACTTCCGAGTGCAAAGGATTAACAATCGACTCTTTATTTAACTCTTCCGCAGCAGAGACGAGTGAAATCAATTCCTGCATTCGACCGCTGCCATTTCTAACCGTCTTCGAGCAATTCGGAATCGGCCACCGATGACTAAGCCGATAAACGCGTCAGCGACGCGAGAGCTCCTCTTTTCCTCGTTCCGCTTTCTCAAAATCTGCCTCGGGACATCCACGTTCGATGATTTCGAGTAACTTTCGCTGTTTCCTTATCTGACATCGACGCCACCGTCGCCTAATTACTAATTATCGTGCTTCTTGCTCGTTGACGTCGCTCGAATCGATATTCCGCGGATTTTCGAAGTCCTCCGTGATAATGATGATAACAATCGGTAATTCCGTGAAGCGATCAACCGATTGGAGACGATAACAAAACGTAAAGTGTACTAGGAATCGGGATAAAGGGAAATTATGAAGATTAGATGCCATCGCGCACGAGGCACAGCTTCTTTCGCACTTTGACCGCCACGTCGGTGTTTTTTATGTAATCTTAAGCATCCATTTTCTTGGTAGCGTATCGAACGAACCGAATTTTCTTGGATACACGAGATACGAGGACGGTAGATCAATCTATACGAGGAATCTTGGCTTTTAATGTCTGCTTGATTGACACGCATGCGGGTCGTTACGCTCGTTTCGACTGATACCGATTACAATCAACTCGTTTATTAATTATTCAATGTTTTCGGGGTGTTTAATTGGAAACAGAGATATTTATACGTGAAAGGAATCAAACTCTTATTTTCAACTTGAAATGTTGATACGATAAATTACATTTATCTATTACTTGACAGTCAAAGCTGTAGCTTTCGTGTATATCTTTTTCAACGGTAGCTATAGCTCGATTCTTTCCCTGATTACAGTGGAATCTAACATAATTGCATAGTTCTTTCTAGAATTGAATACAGAAGTAGAACTTGATGGAAAAGGACGTCTTAACTCGCAATGCTATATTTATGGTATGCAAACCACGTCAAACCTTGCCCTACAAAAGTAGCTTCGAGGCTAGACTTACGGTAGTTGAAATGCTAAGCTTTTAGCTACTATATCTTTTTAACGATACGTTACTATAGCTACTCAATTCTTTCTCTATCGTCTACAACCATGCACATCATGATGTATTTTATATCAGTCCCAAAGCAATACATTTATGATACACAAACTGCGTCAAATCTTGCCACAGAGGTAGCTAAAATGCTAATCTTTTAGCTACTAGCTTTTTAACGATACATCACTCAATTCTTTCTGTATTATCTACAACTATACACATCATAGACTAATCTAACATAGTTCCACGATAGAAAATCCTATCAGTCTAAGCAATCCATTCATGATACAAACTGCGACAAAGCTTGCCACACAGGTAGCTAAAATTCTGTGTTATCTATAACTATACACATAACAGACTAATCTAACATAGTTCCACAATAGAAAATCCCATCAGTCCCAAAGTAATACATTTATGATACACAAACTGCGTCAAAGCTTGCACAGAGGTAGCTAAAATGCTAACCTTTTAGCTACTATATTTTTTCAACGATACGTCCACTATAGCTGCTCAATTCTTTCTCTATTATTTATAGCTATACATATCATAGACTAATGTAACATAGAAAATTCTATCAGTTCCAAAGCAATACATTTATAATACACAAATTGCGTCGCAGCTTGCCACAGAGGTAGCTCCGAAGCTAAACCCGCGTAAGCCAAAAGGTTAAAGGAATTCGAAGAACAGGGAACCGAGTCAATGTTGTTTACACGGAGATTACCACGCTCGACCATTCAAAAATAAACGGTGACTAGCGAACGGTCTAGACGCCCGACACCTGTGACACCTTGGACACCTGTAACTCCCAACAAAAGCAGGAACGCCCTCGACCCAGTTCCCAGCGAGAATAACACTAAATTTCACGCTATCGGCTTTTCGTCTGTACCCCGCGGACCCAGATTCCCCGGCGACTCGTTCCTCTTTCGCGAACGGCGCCATTGTCTCGGCGTTCTGTTGTCTACGATCATTTTTCCTCGAATCCCTCGCGATCTCGATCATCCGATACGTTCTTCGATTACAAACGAAAGCTTTTCCTTCGATAACAAGGAAACTGTTAGGGGAACGTTATATTTGAGGTCACAGCTTGCGGAATTATCGAAACAAGGAAAATTCCTCGACCGACCTTCCTGCAGCGATAAAAATTCCATGTACCGTATCTGCAATTAACGCTAGATTTACGCACGTTGATTTTACGCTTTGTTCTGTCGCTCCTGGAAGACTACGTGTTTGTTGATGTAGGTGTTAGAAGGAAATTGGTGTGTTAAGAGCAGAGAATTATAATGAGAATTGTAATATGGATTATTTACAGATCTAGTGTTAACACTTAGCCAACGTATGGCTTAACAGATATTTGTCGAATGTTTGAGAAAGATCTTACATCAATATCTTTGTGCTACTAGAATTCAACAAATAATAATGTTATCTGATCCCTTTCAATTCAAATGAAATATTATTTTTCTATTATCAATCGTAATTCTCTGAAGTAAACATTCAAATTAAAAACTGCAGCATAAATATTCTCCAAATAGTTCAAAAAGATCTTAAATCAATTTCTCTGCTACTAAGGGTGTTAATTGTACATATGTACAATATTTACATCCAATATCTCATTTAAATTAAAAACTGTAGCTTAACAAACATTCTCCAAATATTTCAAAAAAATCTTAAACCAATTTCCCTGCTACCAAGGGTGTTAATTATTCCCGTCGATCTCGCGGCAAGAGAACCAAGGAAACAATGGTTCCTTCCCAGTTCAAAGTGTAAAGAACACCGGACGAGCGCGCCAGATAGTCCGTCAACGAAACCGTGTCACCACTTCTCGGATTAAATCGATCGAGCTAAAAGGCGCCGCTATTTTTACCTGTTTACCTACCAAAACAAACTTTCATTCATTCTCTCGCTAATCGCGCACACACGTGCACGAACACGTCCGAGACACGTGTGTGTATTTACCTAAAACCACGAAATCCCGATATCACCTCGGAACCTTTTCTCGAACACGGACAACGAAACAATCAAATTTGTTTCGCAGACTATTCGACCGTCAAATAATTCCGTAAAATCTCGAAGTGGTTCCGACGGTGCGACGAACCTCTAAAGATAGTCCCGGTTACGGCGGTAAACGCATCTGAAACGAGAAACCGCATCGACTCGCTTCGAGAACGAAAATTCGATTCGCAGAGTGCCACGACGGTAGCGGCCGAAAACGAGTCACGCGGAGGACGATCGAGTTAACCCCTTCGTGTACTATTTATTTTTGCTACTATGCTTTTGCAATTTTTTACTGTGGACAATTTAATGCAGGGAAATTTTCTACTTTGTTTCTGTTTCTAACGAGTTCGAATTTCATTTGGAGATAGATTGATAATGGCAAAAATGGTCTTGAAAATATATTAACCGCTTGGTGTACTACTTTTGTTACTAATATTTCACTATAGTGTTAATTTTGGTGTAATATTTTACTATGGTGTTAATTCTCGTGTAATATTTTACTATGGACGATTTGGAAGAAATGCAAGAGAATTTTTTGTTCTAGTTCAAGGGTGAATTTCATTTCAAGATAATAGCAAAAATGATCTTGAAAATATATTGTTTCAATTTTACAATATTTCAATGTTATAAGTTTTATAGGGATTACGTGTCAATCGTAATATAATAGGGGATTAATTAGGGGTTAATTCATCCCTTGACGTACTATTTTCTAGTTCAACTGAGAATTTCATTTGAAGATAGATTGATAATAGCAAAAATGAACTTGAGCATATATAGTTTCAATGTTACAATATTTCAACGTTATAATTTTCACTGGGATTACGTGTCAATTATGTTATAATATAGGGTTAATTAGGGGTTGATTAACCCCTTGGCGTGCTATTTACTTTCGTTATTAATATTTTACTATGCTGTTAATTTTCGTGTAATGGTAACTATGAACAATTTGGAAGAAACGCAAGAGAATTTTCTCGAGTAACAAACAACATTGTTAAATTAATCTAGAAGAGATTAACACTAGATTTACTTCATTCTACATTTCATTCCATGAACTCTAGTAAACTGTACTTCTATATATCACGAAAATTACAGCTACAAAGCTAAACTGTCACAATTTGTATCCACATAATTACACCACCCAAAATCGCCTGTAATTATCAGCAAACAATATTCCAAAAATTCAGTACTCAAACTGACATTCCATACATCTCTTAATCAATCACGATAACGGTGGCAACGGTGACAGTGTCAACGACGACGTCGACGTGCAAACGGCACGACGAGTCAACGAGGTAATTTGATTCCCAGAGCAAACACCTGCCAATTTAAAGGTTAGCTCGTTGGAATCGGACGTGTCGCGTGCGGCGCCTCAGCTGTCAGTGTGACAGCCGCTAGATGCAACGCGATCGCCGTCCGTTTTTCTGCCAACAGTGCCAAGGAATCTCGGCAGCATTCGCGCGGCACACTGGCCTCGGTGAGAATCCGAGAAACGCTCGCTGAATCTCTACAGCTGCGCGACGCGTGTTTAAAAAGAAGACGGTTTGTGTCACTTACCAACGAACAGGCAGACGAAGTCTATGATAATCTTCCGCAGCATTATTTTCGAAGACCGGTCCATCGTCACTGGCAGTTACTGTCGTAACTCTGCGAATCGACTTGCTGAGGAATGATCCGGGTAGCCGCGCGCAGATCGAACACCGAACAGTCGCAGTACAAGGAATCAGAGGCTAGACCGTACCGTCCCGGCGAACGGTTCGGAGTGGACTGAGGCACGCTTGCCCATTAGTCGCGGACCTACCCACCGAACGCACGACTCGAACCGACCCGACACGACCGAGTTCCGAGCGACGACTGCCACTGCGACTGCGCCTGGCTCTCTGTCCGCGCGACGCGACTGGCTGGCGCACGCGCGCTTCACTCGGGCACTCCTAACCGCGAAATATTGAATTCATTGATTTATTTTTGTTTGTTTTATTTTGTCGACGGAGAATATTCTGTGGAAAAATGTGGGAGAGTCTAATTAGGGGAAAGGGTGATTTGTGGATAAGTGAGTAATTTTTTGAAGAGGTTAGAAGTGTGTATTAACCTTAGATAACTGAATGTTTGAATAGACTAGGTTATTTCTGAACTTTTTCTATTTTTTAATTGAGAAGTGATATGTTTGTTGACACTTTGAAATGAATGGAATATGAAAGTAAAAAGTGTGCTTGATTTGTATATGTTTCACGTTGTGATACTTTGTTTGAGACAAATGGAATATGAAAATAAAAAGCGTGTCTGATCTATTGTATAAGTCGAATGTTTAATTGATGACTAAAATTGATTTAAATTTATTTATAAGCCAACTTGAATGGTCAGGAGTGGCTGTATCGTTGATTAACGACGCAAACATTACGGGAAGCCCGTCGTTCGCGAGCAAACACCTGCGAGAGATTTATCTGTGTATTTGCGGTCGGTAAATAGGGGCGGGGATGGGTGGTCACGGCGGGAAAAAAAGAAAGGCAAAGCGCGCGCCGTTCGAATAATATTTGCGTTTACTTCCAGAATTTTCCTGCGATCTTATCGTTTTTCGCTTTATAAAACGTCCCGGCCACTTGCGTGATCTGTTATTCAATATTGTATATCAAATAACACGATTATACGATATTTATTCTGAGACGATCATATACAATGACGGATACACAGTGGAAAATAATACGGTCGGGTGTCTCGCCTGTTTTCCCAAATTTCTCATTAATCTCGCTGACGCTCGATTAGCTCTCTCTCGTAATTACCGTTTATAACATGAGCAATGAAGACAGTTTTTTTCCTTTTTTTACTTCTATATAATTAAGTATATACAGAAATTAATTCTAAGCTTGTATTACATATGTTTCAACGGTCAATGCTGATTCTCACGTTTAAGTACATTCGACGCAGATTAATCACTAATAGGTTTCAGCAAGCTGCTTGGGATTAGATGCTCCAAAAGTTCATTAAGACATGCATCGATAAAAATACTATATATATACTATATATATATAGTATAGTAATAGTAATACCATACGCTTACATCGAATTCAATGTTTAAACTACGTATATTACACTATCCGAGAAAATAATCAATATCTTTCTAAGCTTAATCATTTCGTTTCGAATCGTTTATGTACATCAAAAAGAAACTTCCTCGCTTCAGTTTCCGGGCGAACATTGGTTCTCGCGATTACAATTCTAATTTCTGCTATATGGTTTTGTACAAGCTTCATTAATATCGATAATTGTTAAGTTACTTCATTGTAACGAGTTATTCGCCTATGCTATCGTTCAACTCGCTTTTTGGAATACCTCTTCGCGCGTATCTACAGATTTGGAACGTTCTCTTATTCCCTCTGAGCGTAATAAGCTATTTCGTCGCACCTCTGAACCTCGATATAACAAAACTAATGCATAATACAAGAAGATTCATTTATTCGTTTGCGTGTATATAATCTCTTTCATTCTCTAATGTTTCGCTTGATACTTTATATATATTTACATGTTGCCAATTTAATGAATAATTATATTATATATTAAATATATATATATATATATTCATGTGTCGATACTCTTTAAAAATAACGTTAGGATAATGTTAGACGATTACAGTAGAAATATGCACGTACTCGGATTCTCTTCAAGTATCTTCGAAACAATCGAGCGATTCAATTATATATGAACATAATCACGTTATAGTCATTCGTTTGCAATTATCTATTATCGAGTTAATCCCCTGCCTCGAACTCCTCGCAGTTCAATATGGTACAATATTACAACGACTCGTGCAAAACAACTTATCAAGTATTGTCACTTACGGATATAATACCTCTCAAACAAAAAAAAATGCCATTGATGGTAATTATTAAATTGTCAAATATATGTCCTTTTATGTACAGAAATCAGTTTCGTTCGTTTAAAATTACAAAGCAACGTCTCGTTACGATGAAAATTAAAAGTGAAGGCTGATATTAGGCAGGCTCTATGATAAAAATTGTTCGTTAGCGTTCGTACTCATTGTTGCCACATTTTTGACGGTTCCACGGGGAATCACCGTCGCGTTAATTCTATGATTATTATTATTGCACTAAGTCGTAAGCTAAAACAGTAGAGTTACGTTACTTAAATATATTGTCCTTCAGTTATCTTTCCCTTCGATCAATTACATTGTACTTGCCACGATGTAAATCATTCATCAAATCAATCTTTCAACTTTCCTTAAATAATTCTTCTTTTGTATGTCTAGTCGAGATGAAGTTACGGAAGAAAAATTCAGAATCAGAGAAAGAAAGTGTATCCATACAACTTTGATGAAAGAAATTCAATTCTATATCGTTGTTACACGGCAATAATTATGCAAATTATTCTTGAATTCATTGAAACCAATCTTGCATGGCACAATAATTAGTTACACCCTTGCGTACGATCAAACTTCATTAGATATTAAATACACTCGTACGTATACTAGTATTTCTTTCGTTGCATCACATTTCCATATATTATGCATTGTTTCTTAACACCACCAAAACCTGATCGAACTTCTCGAACAGTTCCATTGCCTATATATGCATGGGGACACACGGTTTCTTTCTTTGGTCGTCTCGAGAGACTGGCTATTTCATTGGTTCCCCTTTCAAACGAATCATTAATTTATCCTGTGAACGAATGATTCCCGAAAACTAGCTTTCCTCGAATATGAACAAAATGTGAACACATGAAAGAGAAGAGATGTAAACATTCGATGTTAGAATAGTCATTGATATCGTGTGTCCCCGGTGCCTCCCTTAACGACTAACACTGTTAAAAATATCAAGTACTGTAGATGTGTAAGTATTTATGAAAATAATTTTATAACAATTCCATCTCTATTAGTCATCTGCGTGATTCAGATGCATAGGCTGTAATAGTGTTATCTACGCATCCAGCTGCTAGAACTACGCGATTAGGATGGAAGCTTAAACAACTTACTGGACTAATACGTGTAGCCATGAATCCCTCATGGAATTTTATGGTATTCAAGTGTTGACCCATTGTATTATATACACTTATACAATGATTCGTCGACCCGCTGAAATAAACAGAAAAATTAATATTTAGCAGGTTCTAACGAAAATCTATGTCGCCTTAAAGCTATTGGAACTTACCAAGCAAAAATATCGGCAACTTCGTGAGGTGCCAACGCAGTAATACCTTGCGTTATTTGTACAGTGCTTACAGAGGAATTTTTTCTAAGATCAAATATTCTAATATCGCCTGAAGATGATCCAGTGAAGAGTTGCGGCGCTGATCTCTCGGATCTTCTCAGAGACGTGCCCAACACCCATGCTGTGTGCTCCCTCCAGATCATAACTCTCGACTCTAATGGAGGTAACCTTCTGTCGAACAATCGAACAGAACCATCGCCGCATCCCACTGCCATCATTGCACCTAAATACATATGAATATTAATAACACTAGATTAATAACACTTCAATGCTTCCATGGTCTGGAATATCATATTCAAAAGTGGCTTTCCGATGAGAGCTATGTAGGAAATTGTTGCAACTGCCTTCATCGGTAAAGACTATATAATTGTTGCTGACCAATTAAACTACTGGTGACTACTGATCCGGAAAATGAGCTAGCTGCCTAAATAAAGACTTTGCTAGTTGAACAATTAAGAACTACTGATGGCTAGTGATCCGAAACATAAACTAGGTACCTATATAAAGACAGTAGACTATATAATTGACCAATTAAAAGATCACACTGACACTGGCGTGTCATTAACCCTTGACGAACCCAGCTGCAATGATGGCGAAACGTTGGGAACAACTTCCTACACAGCTCTCAGCCTACAGTCACTTCTGAATATATTAATAATACTATTGACATCTACGTATAAACATATATGAATGACTGACCTACTCCATCAACATCAATGCATGTAGCACAACAATCAGCACCTATGGGTATGTCTTGCTTCTTTAATTCGCTCTCCGCATCCCAGAGCCTAACGATGCGAACGTCACCGGTCACAGCTAAAGTAAGGGACTTCTGTTCCCATTTGGTAACTAAACCAGCTGTTGCTGCAAACAATTTTAATTAATGCATCAAGTTACAAAGCGAATAGAACTTCGAATCAAAACGTCTACGCACCGGTTGTGGTTTTCGTTGCTGGTTGTATATCAGCTAATGCTTGCCAAGCGGTGAGTAGAATCGGATCACGACTTAAAACGCTACTATAGTTTTTCCAGACTCGAACAGAACCATCGTCGGAACCGGTCATCAACAAACTGACGTCGTGGGCGTTGATAAACTCGAGAGCTGTAATACGTGACACTTTATTCCCACGACTTGCGCAGTAAGTCAATAACTTCGAACCGGTTTGATAGTCCCATACTCTGTAAGAAACAATTATATTTCATGAAGCTTTGTTCTTTAACGAAGCAATGACGTTACTTTAAAACAGTAATACAAATACCCAAAGAAATCTTTCAATGCTACAGCCAAGTGAGGTTCGAAGGGATGAAATGTTAAAACTTCTGGAGAATGTGGACATCTTGCATGGAATACTTGTGACTCTACCCTACTTTGTACCGCTCGTAATTGTTCCTCTTTAGCCTCATGCCTGTGCCTTTTATTCCTCAGGTATCTGAAAGAATAATACAGTAATATTTTCTATGAAACAAAAAGACTCGGTCCGATCGTTGCAGTTAGACTTGCCTCCATTCCCTCTCATAGTGAGCTCTGCTCTCCATGTCGTTCATCGACTCAGTTTCATTTTCTAAACTAACTGGCTGAGCGAACTGAGCGCAACTCCATTCGACGAACTGCGAAGTTGTCAATGGTGTTTTGATCCCAACAACTTCGTCAGCCTCTTCTGATATCTAAAAGGAATAACATGAGAGTGCAAGAAGTAATTCACGTCGCATGCATTTCTCAATAATGACATTCTTTTACTGACCGTATTAGGAATTGGTTTTCTGGATCGAGTGGTATGCGACAATATCCTGGACGATCGCAATAGATCTGATCCAGAATTCACCGTAGGCGGTGATTCACCTTTGCTGCTGTTCAATTGAATAGAGATAAGCTAAATGAAAGTATCGAGCACGGTATGGGATTTTAATTGAAGTAGTGATTAACAACTAACATGAAGTAAGTGGTGCGATTCGATGGAGACGGTGGAAGAGACAACGATGAAGACGTTTTCGTTTCAATCCCTTCCTTGGGCGTGGAGGATTCTTTCACCTGTGACAAGAAACGTTACACTTGTAGAACTGTGAGAGACAATAAAATAATAAAAGTAATTATACATTTTATCATCATTGTTACCTGATTTCGAATATGATTAGTCACTTTCTGAGACATTGTGGCAACTGCAGGGTGAGGATCGTTATCGAGGTTGCATAGTCCGTGCCATAGTTTCATATATACACTACCATAGGAAAGACTCGGTAAATTCCCAAGCGAGCTGTGCCCTAAAACCAACAAATAATAATTCGCATGTAACAAGTTTCTTCGCTGCACGTTAAACGTATCTGAACTTTATGGTAAAATGTGTTTTCTAGATAATAAAGCCAATGAAGTAAACATTAGCTAAAAAAATAAAGAATTACAAAATCTATAAATGAAGGATGAACTATGTACGAACATGCAATGGAATTTCCAATCATTATTACCAAGTGACTCGCAAGGTTTCCTCACGAACTCCCAATTATTTCCTGGCACACGAATGAAACAGTATAAGGACTCGTTATCCACAATCCAACAGAAAGCTAGTAATTAATCGAGCACGACGACTCTCTGCCACTTACCTAAACTACTTATAGACGACGAAGAGGATACTCTCTTAATACGATCTTGCCCAAACCCGTCCGTACTGTCTATACTGTACGTGTTGTTAGGGGAAAGCATTTTTAATCTATCTCTGGAACTAATGCGTCGCATTCCGCTAAACGGCGAAAACGTTTCCACGACAAGATCTTTGCGACTGTTCTCCTCAGCCAAAGCTAAAGTGACGAAGGAATTTTCAAAGTGTAAAACCATCCATTGAAGCGCTACTACTAATTCCTGGAAATAAATTGACATTGCCGTTGCATTCGAGCGACTCGCTTCATCGTTGTAATTATACTGTATTGCATAACAAACTTACATACTTTTCTAACTAAAGGGCACATGTCATGGGACACGGTATTAATCAGTGTTATAGCAATAATTTGATCAATGTTATTCGCATGTTCGCTTCGTGTCGTAACGCTATTTATGAATGTGCCCAAAGCGTAAACGCTAGCTGCTCGAACCTATATAATTTTAGAATACGTTGTTACTGTCATTTTAATAAAGCGATGACGCAAATTGGATATATAAAATCAGGCGCTTTTTATACCTCAGGAACTGAATCTCTTAATAACGTGAATAATTTCTCGTGTGCGATATCACGAACACCACACCACCTCGCCTTGTCATAATTATGCCAAAGCCTCGCAAGACATAAACACAGCCATTGACGTAATAAAGGATTTGAATCTCCAAGTTGTTCCAGGCAAATTGAAACGAGGCTCCCATGATTAGCTGCTACTTGACCTTGTCGATAATCATTCACGATACTAGCCAAGACAAATGCTGCCAACGTTCTGTACTCGCTCTGAAATACAATACAGAATCATTTGAAACATTGTAACGTTTAAGATCTTCTTGATGCATAGAATGAAATACAACAATACCGGAACTGAAGTGTCTTGAAGAACAGATAAAAAATACTTGTGCCCTCCATCTCGTACAAGATCTGCTTGACAGGTCTGCAAATATACAAAACATATTAATTAAGGTTGTCGTGCGAGATTGTAATTAATTTCAAGTGCCTAGCATTGAAACTTACACTATCAACTGCAAGAATTTTCGCCCAAATGAAAACAAGTAGTGGACGTAATTCCCTAGCGTTGCTCTGAAGTAATTTCAGAACGTATGGAAAAATGCCTACGCTAAGAGCCAGATTTACCGCCCACGGGCCAAGGTCAAGGAAACGTCCTAATAATTCTAATGCTCTTAGCCGGTGAACTTGACTTAACAATACTTGAAGTACTATAGGAAGCTGTTCCGGTGGATTGCGATTTTTCGAACCTAACGTAAGCCATACTTGGAACGCTGTCAGTTGTTCTTCAAAGAAAGGAGAGTGCACAAACTGATCTTCATTCTCTAAAATAGATGGTAATTGTGCTAAGCAGAGATCAAGTGCCAAGTCCCATGCTTGCCACATAGGATGCTAAATTCATAGAAGACATGAATTAATGATGAAGTAACAGTTAGAGATAATTGATAATTGTGAGATATTTACACCAGTATTTACCTGAAAGGTGGGTGGCAATTTCGGACAAGAGACCGGTGTACAATCGTACGATCGAAGTATTCTTTCGGCGAGTAAAAAATTTCTAAATAAACTAGCAACTAATAAATCTTGTCTAAATAACCTCTGGAATAAATCTGGAAATGAAATATGTTTATTTTGTAGCAGTTCTTGTTATATGTTTAATTAAAGAGTGGGGAGTAGCATTGAATTACCTCTTGGCAAAGTGTTCCATGCTATTGTGTCTGTGATTGCTGTGAATATCCAATTAAGTTCTCCTAACATTGTTCTTCTGTCGGTCAACTGTCCTGGAATTCTGAAATTTGTTTACCATGATTTGTAATGTTTTCAATGAAATGTTCCATGGAAGATTCTTAACCTAGGAAGTAATATAGACCTCCTTCCGAAAAGAAAATTTTACTTACTTGTCGATTAAGTCTAATGATATTTTTGGTACCAATTTCGACGTATTTTGCATTACAAACCTATACAAACAGAAAAAAGGAACTCAGTTTTTGTTTTTGGATAAAGTATCAATTATTTTCAATAACTTTTTCTTTCTGCTCACCATCGCAATGCAATTTTTATTGGAGTGGTAAGGCATGAAGTAAATATGTCAGCAGGTAAATCTGGATTCATAGGTAAAATCTGATTAGCTGCACATGCTGCCAATTGAATGCAGTTTTTGTAAGACGGTACTGTCGTGCCTCCATACGTGGTAACTCCTGTTGCACGATTTTGCTGTAAGGCTTGTTTTTCCATCTATAAAGTAATGTTTCTAATATATTCACAAACAGATTCCACTTTTGCATAAAATGCGTGGAAAACTTTTACCTCGTATTCCTTCTCATGCTGTTCAGCAAATTGTTGGAAAGATTCTACTATAATACCTGCATTAGAACAATCATATACATAGATACTAGGAGCTCCCATCCATGTCTGTAAGTCATATACAGACAAAGGAATGTATTGTGTATACGTCTGTAAAGATAATTTCATGTTAAAAGTGTTCTTGTTGTATCATTAGTATTATTAGTTAAAGAAACTTGACATTAACCCTATTAAATACCCATATTTCACCATTACTGGTGGGTTTAGGAACACCATGACCATTATAATGAAACAATACTCTTTCCTCCTTCGCGTTTCTCCTCAAAGAAGTGCACAACTTCTTAACGTCTTCCACAGTGGGATCCAAACTTTGTTTGTAACGAGCTCTTGGCTGCCATCGTTCGTACTGCTTTTGTAAATTAGAACCTATAGTTTCCAAAGCTTTTTGTGGACTCACTGATAAAGGATCTGTAAGATTAATACAACACATGTCTTTCCTTCAAATATTCCAAAAAATCAATGTCTAAAGAAACTATTTCCATTCTTATTGATTTCTACAGTAATAAAATAAAAGCCTCTGTATATAAACTTCACGCATATCCGTACAAGCTACATACTCGGCTTACATTATACACCTGCGACAACAGAATTGTCACACGAATATTCAAAGTATATCGCCAACTAATTCTATACTCGAATAAAAGAAAACAGAAATAGCAGAGTACCATGTAAAAATCTTAATTAATATAATTACAGCGCCACCTAGCAGTGACCAGCAGAAATGGCAATTATGTAGGAACTGTTGTCACAAGCATGCATAACCTTAAAGTTTCATTACATAATGGCAATGGCAGCGGTAAATGCGTGATGTAAATAAAGTAGAATAAATACCTATCCAGCATTCGAGACGGGCGCACGGTTGCGTCTTGACGATGTCCGGAGGGTCAACGCCGACGTTCAAGCACAAAACCAGAGCCACGCTAACAGTTTTCATCTGAAAACAATCCACGAAATCATCGTGCCCAGTCAAACACGCAATTCTCCGGAGTACAATCGTCAGATTAGAAAAACAGAAGAAACAAACCCGCTCTTTCATTCTCCATGTCTGCGTGATACAGTTGACGCCCTCGATCGTCGCTGTATGACGTGGCTTGCAAAACGCCAGCTGTATTTTCCAATCGTCCTCCTCTGTCAGCTTCGAAATCTCTTCCTCGTGGCATGGTTTCGAGGCAGTTACTGACATTTTAAGCCTACGAGCACGCCGAAAGTTCCTGGCGCGATTTTACGAGGGACACACACCGATTACCAATGATTCACCACCGATACCATGTAAATTATCAATCTTAGCTGCACACCGCCGGTATTCAACAGCTGACAAACGCACAAATGTATTTTAACGGAACACCGTTTTGTAAGTTTACTTCTTTTGTCGCCATCTTACACTTTTGACGATGCTGCCAATAAACTCTGTAAAGCCACACAGGCTTAGGATACTGCGCGTGAACTATACATATTTGCTATAATATAGTACTCCTCGGATAGTGTACTGAAATACCGACAACGGAGAAAATTCCCCTGGAACTAGTGGACTCGTGAACGATATTTAGGCACACATCCTTTATAACCACCAATGTTGACGATAGTGAATAAACTAGTTGGACAGTTGGTAGCAGACTGACGCTTAGTAAGATAATGGCGTCCTATAAAAACCAACTGTGCCATCTATTGGCAGAATAGTGAAACTACTAATCAAATAGTGCCATTTTTCTACGCTAGGTGGCCAACCATCTATCATCTGTACATTGTTCAATTGTAAATTTTAAATATTCAATGCATGTTGTTAACAACAATTCCTCACTTGAATAATGTCCGTTGCTAAATCAAGACACAATGCTAAACAGTTAATTCAAGAAAAATTAAAATTGATATAATAATTAGTATGGTAATATATTAACCATATATTTCATTCATAATAATTCCACACACAAATTAGCCAACCCTCTTCAAAATGGTACCGCCATCTATAGTACGATTACTGAAACTGATGATTAAATAGCAGAAGATTGTGAAAAACAATGTGGCGCCATCTATCGCAAGAATGCTGAAACTTCTTGCCAAATGGCAAAGGAATTTATTACATTCAGTGGCGCCATCTATTGCAAAAACCTCGAAACTCCTTGCTAAATAGTATGAGGTTCTTTACTGCAAGGTGGCGCCATCTATCGGCATAACGCCGAAACTGCTGGATAAGTAATACAGGGGACCCTTGGCAATTTGTCGCGCCATCTAGCGAAGAAAGCATGATACTATTTGACGAGAAGTTTGACTGTCTTCCCGATAGGTGGCGATACGGAAAGACCGTCTCAGTGCTCGTGGCGCCATGCAGCGATGAAAGGTATGAACTAAAAGCGACTTTTCAATGGAGAACGTCAAGGAAATCAGCAGCGAATTCATTAATATAATGAATACTACGAATGATTCGTTAATATTTGCGATTTAGAATCATAGTATGGACCTTCCCCTACATTCCCATATCACCTTCGATAGGATATTCTTCCACGTTAATTATTTATTAATTATTCTTTAGGACCATGTTACTCGCAACCGAATCTGTTGCCCCTGCAGGGCTGCAGCCGTCTTTACCAACACATTAACATGCCGTACCTCTGCTTAGGTTTTCTATAGCTTCCCGTGAACCAATTTCGACGTTCGACGGCTCAAATTAAAGCTTATGAAACAAAGGTAACGATACCTTCATTCACAATTCCAAATCGATACGAGAACAGACTGAAAATCGCTATCAATTAACATTCATACTCGACTTACACAATCAACCCATCCAATAATCGCTAATAACTTATTAATTACAACTCAAATACGCTTCATACAACTATTAAATATTCCTAAGAATCGACCCTAATTTCTCCAAACCTAAATATTCAGCAATTACGCCTACCAATCAATAAACTTAATTCTCCACTCTTCACCAATCAAAAATTTCCAAGTCCTCCTATAACATGGTCCCGAATAATAATCAACAATTAATAAACGCGGCACAAAATCCAATCATAAGTGACTCAGAAAAATAGAGGAAGGTCCATTCTACGATCCTGAATTGCAAACATTAACGAGTCATTCGTAATAGTCATGATATTAATGAATTCCCCGCTGGTTTCTTTCCTTTCTCACCACATCGCACTGCGTTTAGTTCATAGCTTCCACCGCTAGATGGCGCCACTGAAATTGCCATCATGGAGACCTCCTTTGTCCTGATGCTTCACGCGTACGGACCAGGGACTGATGAGATGCTTTTTTCAAGGAGGTGGCACGAGTGAGACTATCTCTGTCATTGTCGCACACTATCTCCGCCCTTGTCTTACACATTGCGGATATAGGGGGAAGCTTCGAAAACGCCCGTCCGCTAGATGGCGATAGTGTCGCTCGCAACCAAAATCGTCTATCGTTGGCTTACTCATTACAAGAATAGGGAAATTTATAACGAATAGACTGGCAGTTATTTTACTATGATACTATTGATAGTTCTTTATTTTATATGAATTATTTAATAACAATTATTTGCAGCACTGTCCCACGACGATTGAGTATCCTAATTCTAATTAATATTCTAATTCTATAGGAACAATAATTGATGAAGTTTTGCAATTGATAAAATTGCAGACCTATTGCGTCGTTCTGGATCTACGTTTGTAATAGTTTTTTTATATGTTACTGACTGCAAGTAGTTTATTATAACTGATTATATCATAGTGTTTGTAATTAGGCGTATTATTTAACATTTAATAGCAGTGTCGCAACAATTGCTGCACTTTGGAAACTGACTTTAAGTTTTGCGCTGCTTTGTAAATATGTGTTCAGCTCTTCTCGTGGCGTGTACACGTTCGTGTGACTCGTGAGCACGTGTGCGGCCAGGTCTGGTTTATTTGCGAAAGTTTGTGATGGAAGAACGTGAGAGATTTTAAACGAGAATTGTTTATTAAGTAAGAAATTAACACGAATCTGGTGAACCCCGTCGCAGCAAAATGAGTACTATATTGGAAAAGATTGCCTCGATCGAGGCCGAGGTAACCCCTATTTTTTGTATAAAATATTCTGAATATGTGGTTCTTTGTACGTTGTTTAACTGAATGGATTTTTAACAGATGGCCCGAACCCAAAAGAATAAAGCTACATCTGGTCACTTAGGTATATTGAAGGCGAAACTTGCTAAACTGAGAAGAGAACTAATAACTCCTAAAGGTGGCGGGGGTGGTGGAGAACAGGGTTTCGAAGTGGCCAAAACTGGTGATGCTAGAATAGGATTCGTTGGTACGTATAAAAGTCTAACATGTTTAGAGCAGAACAATTCCTAATTTATTTATGAACGTGCTAGGCTTTCCATCCGTGGGAAAATCTACTTTGTTGAGCACCCTGGCTGGTGTATATTCAGAGGTTGCAGCGTACGAATTCACAACTCTTACTACTGTCCCGGGTTGTATAAAATATAAAGGTGCAAAGATACAGGTATAATCATTTGTCTTATATGGGGGAGAGACGTATAAAGACATTATATTGACTTACCTTTCAATGATGCATTAGCTGTTGGATCTTCCTGGTATTATCGAAGGTGCAAAGGATGGCAAGGGACGTGGAAGACAAGTTATAGCAGTTGCTAGAACTTGTAGCTTAATATTTATTGTTCTGGATGTACTGAAACCTCTTGGCCACAAGAGATTGATCGAACACGAATTGGAAGGTTTTGGATTGAGATTGAATAAGCAACCACCAAATATTACGTTCAGAAAGAAAAACAAAGGAGGGATCAATTTTCAGACTACGGTAATTTTATTGGATTTAGGGGAGTATAAAAGGCTATGTTATGTTATGCCATCACTTCAAGTTAATATGTTTTCCGACAGTGCACGCAATCCGAATTAGACTTGGAAACAGTCAAAACCATTCTGTCGGAATATAGAATACACAACGGGGATATTACCTTGAGGTACGACGCCACGTCGGACGATTTGATTGATGTAATAGAAGGAAATCGTGTTTATATACCCTGCATTTATTTGCTCAATAAAATAGGTAATGATTTGTTACAACCTATCTACAAAAGGAACAGAGGATCGATACAACAATTATCTTCTTTCTATTTGTTTAGATCAAATCAGTATCGAAGAATTAGATATCATTTATAAAATACCTCACTGCGTACCAATTTCTGCTCATCATAAATGGAACTTTGATGACCTGCTGGAAAAGATGTGGGATTACTTGCAGCTGGTTAGAATGTGAGTACTCGATTCGTTAGCTTTATAAATTGTATATTCAATTAATTTCTTCTATTATAGTTACACCAAACCCAAAGGTCAGCTACCTGACTATAATTCTCCTGTAGTCCTAAACAGAGAGAAGAGAACTGTCGAAGATTTTTGCAATAAACTTCACAGATCCATTGCAAAAGAATTCAAATAGTAAGTTCATTTCCACGGTTTTAAATAAAAATCGCACGATTTGTCACACTTATGATCTTCTTTGTTATTTCTAGTGCACTTGTGTGGGGTTCTTCCGTCAAGCATCAGCCTCAGAAAGTTGGAAAGGATCATGTACTGTGTGACGAGGACGTCGTTCAAATTGTGAAAAAAGTCTAATTTTACCAGAAACTTCCGCGAACAAGCGTTTACGATGATTTTACCTTATGTAATAGAAACCGTCGAAATCATTTAAATCATTTTTTCTTTACTGTAACACGCGGAGTGCCGTCCGCCAAGATAAATATATATATATATGTATATACATATATATACATATATATTATATATATACATATAAAAATATATATACACACATAGTGTATTAATTTTTCACAGTGCATACATAAATTACAAGAACATACGATAAAAATAATTTTAAAAAAACTAGTTTTATATCAAATGAATGTATAAAATATTCGCGTAACTGTTTAAAGAACACTGTATGATACTTGAACAAGCCTGAGCGCATACAATGAAATAAAACGTACATCAATTAACAACGTTGCTTTCATAAACTCCTCAAAATATATTCCTTTCGCTGCTGATCCAACAGCTTCTCCAAGTGTTCGCACTTCGATTTGACGCTGCCAAGTTCTCTAGTGAGATTCTTTATCGTCAGGAT